TTTGTCATTCCGAGCAGCCTTTTGGAATCTTCTGTTCAGCTCTTTAGTGTCCAGAATATTATAGTGATTTACTAAAATTACCTAGCAAGAATATTCTAAACTATAATGTGGAACGTTTACCTAGTGGTAAATCCCATATCAGGTTCTTTTAATATCTAGTCCACTTTAGCTTCCAGTACATCAGAGTACATTGTGAAGATATGTCAAATATTCGGGAGATAACTCTAAAAGTGAATACCAGTATTCACTTGACAACATTAAAGTTGTCATCAGTGTGTTCTGTCTTCTTCTTATAAAGATTTTCATGTTATTCCATTGTTAGGATCATGATCTTAATTTAGTTAAATCCATAATTTCATATTTCATCTCCCTTCTGCATATTTCTCAAGCAACAACCCACAGTTTAATGGAGTTTATTCTCTTAAGAACATATTTTTCAGACTAATTGTTCCTAGGTATATAAGCCTCAAAATCCTAATAACCAGTAGAACATTTCAGCTTTTCCACAGCCTGGAAACTAAACCAACAGAATATTCCTTTGGTGAGTTTGATCATAAGACCTTGTTTAAATGTCATCTCTGTTTCTATACAGAAATAAAATATCCATCTCTGCTGAGTTGAAAAGTGTTCCCACAATTCATGTGCTTTGTATAACTTACTTTAAAAATATATTTGGTCTTGATATAATTAGTTAAGATATAGTCAGAGTGGAACAAGCTAGGCCCTTAATCCATATGTTAATGTCTTTATGAGAAGAGAGAAGACACAGAAAAATGGCCATAGAAATGAAGGTAGAGGTAAAGTCATATATTGAAAGCCAGCTTCCACCAGAATCTTAAGAGAAAGGCATCAAACAGAGTCTTCCCTAAAGCCTTCAAAGGGAAATGACCCTGTCTACATCTTCGTTTTGGACATTTAGCCACCAGAGCTATGAAAGAATAAATTTCTGTTGATTTAATCAATCAAGTTTATGATAATTTCTTATGAAAGCCCTAGGAAACTAATACAGTATCTAAATTAATACTGCTTCAGAGTTCAAGAGGTGCTCTGTGTCATAATCTATAGCATGTTGCACTGTTAGCCAAAAGGCCGCTATGTCTCTTAACAGTTTAGATCCACCAGCCACTCAACAGGAGAAAGATTCCATCTCCTCACATTGCGATTTGCAGCCTGGGGGAAGGAGGGAAAGGTGTACTGATAAACATGTAAAGACTGAAAAAAAAATTTTGCAGCCTCATAAACCCAATGAAGGGTTGCTGTGAGATGAAGCTGATATCCTCAAGTCCATTTTTAACAGTCACTGTGTAAAACCACCCTGTTTATGGTTTTCCCCTTTCTCTGACCCACCGCTTTTCCTACCAAGATGTCTTTTTCCAAGGACTGGCACCACCTGACAACATGTCCAAAGTTTGTTAGATGACATTTCACCATCCTTGCCTCCAAGGAGCACCCTAGCTACACTTTCTCCAAGACATGCACTAGAACTACACTTTCTCTAAGACATATTTGCTTGTTCTTTTAACAGTCCATGTGCTAATCTCTGCTCTTCTCCAACACCACAATTCAAAGACATTGAATCATCTTCTGTCATCTTTATTCATTGGTCAACTATCAGATGCATAGATAATAATCTGCTAATTAGGAGGAAATGTTAGCGGAAAGGTAGAATCATAGAAAAATTATTATTTGCTCATATTAAGTAAGTAATAAAATTATAATCTCAGCTACAGAGTCTTTATAACCTAAAAATTGCCAAACTCTCAATAACAATCTTCCATCAAGTAATGTAGTTTAGAACTTCAGAGCTTTTCTGTTTTTCAGTCTTCACAGGAAGATCTCTGCCTATGGTTATGCATATTGATATTCAAGAAAAGAACTGTTTCTTTGTATCTCTTTTTTTTTTTTTAAACTCCTGTCTTACTGTTAGGTTAACCATCTCCTTATACTTGGGCAAGATAAAGAATTTTATCTTTGAAAATGATTTTTTTTCCTTAAAATCTCTTACTAGGGGACTTTCCCCCCTATAAGAACTCGATTAGTATATCTAGCTATGTTCCTTTTGTCAAGTACTTACTCATTAGTTTGTTCTTATTACTATTTGGGACATAATTTGAAAATACCAGCTCCTTCAGAATATTTGTTACCTGTCTTGGTTAAAATTTTCTTTAGGAATTTAGCTTTCCAGTGTAATTGTTATGTATTTGGAAGCTAACTGAAAGTTTGGTGGTTCAAACATACCCAAGTATAGAAAGAGAGTTGTACAAGTTAATTTCTTTTAAAGATTTATATCTCTGAAATGCATTTAAGTAGCTTTTTGCTATTTTTCTGGAATCCTATGACTGACTCACTCTTCAGCAGCAGGCTTATTGGTGGTGTGTTAGGCCTAGGAACATGGCAGACTTATTGTCATACTCTGGAGAAGTCCAGGCATATTTTCCTACATACTTCAGTTTTAAGATAGTTAATTGAGTTAAATGACAACTTCTTTTCTCATTTACAATCCTTACTCTAGGTCTTCTGTGTAAGCTCTTCTTTTTATTGTCTTCTAAGTGTTGTATTGGAAACAAGTAGTAACTGTGATAAATACATTTGACACTCTAAAAGGGTCCTGCCAGTTAGGGCAGTGTGAAGGAAGCAGCAAGTCTGTGCCCTGCTAGGAGTCTCTCTAATGAACACCTTTTGATGCTCTCTAATGCAACACAGTCTTAGAAAAATAAGCACATTAGTAGACATAATGGCTTTCAAAAGAAGTGGCATTGTTTTATTCAGCCCATTTGAAAGTGCTGCTTTCTCATCTCCCCCACCTCGTGACTATTTTTCTGTCTGTGTACCAGAAAATATTCTAACAGCAGAGCTAGCTTATATTAGTATTGATTTTACTAAGAGGGAGGAACAAAATCTATTCAATATGCTATTTCATCTCCAAGGGAAAGAAAATCTTAAATTTCATGAACATTATTTTATTGATGTTTTGTTTTAGATGTTGCAGATAAATAAGGTTATTACATACTTTGACTCTTTTTAATTGAATTTTGAGAAATCTAGATTCTGTAATTCAACACATATTCTCATGTACCGTATGGAAACCCTATTTCAAATCTCTGTTAGATCTTTTTACTCTTATGTATGCTAGTATTAGTGCCAAATTAATATTGACTGTTATTAGAACTATCCTTTACATTTCTGGATAGCAGTTTCTTTTCATATATGCTAAAGTAAATCTAAGGAGCCTTTGTAACACAATGGTTCAGCATTTCGCTGCTAACTAGAAGATGGGGGATTTGAGCCCATCCAGCAACTGTACTGGAAAAGAGTTGGTTGTGTATTTAAGTTTTACAGTCAATAAAAGTCTTTCTGACAGTTCTGTCTATCCTTTGGGGTTTTGGGAACTTTTCATCAGGTAGGTTGAGTACTGGGAATTTCATAAAAGAACCAGGTAGATGACAAGATGGAAATTTAAGGAATTAAAATGATTCTTCCAAGGTAATTGTTGCATTCTTAACATAGTAAAATATCTCCTGTGAGTTTATAAGATTTCCTTAGTACCTGAGTAGTTATCTTGTCTTAACAAACTTAAACTTTGCTAAGAAGATCTTGTTTAAAATAATGGTGGTAATGACAGATACAATGGTGATGATGATGGCTCCAGACTGGTTTTGCTCCCTCAAAAAGATACTGTTCATTAGTTCTTTTTTATACTGTACTATATGGCATCATTTGAATTAAATAATTAATTTACAAATACTTTAAATATTTCTAAGTGGTTGACTTTTGTATAGGTGTGTTGTTGCTATTATATACTGTCAAGTCAGAACCTTCCATAGCTGACCCTAATATGGAGCATCAGAGCTGACCCTCCAGGGGTTTCTCAGAGGCAGTAAATTACATGGGAGGATGTAAATCCTGTCATCTCTCGCTCATGGAACATCTAGTAGATTTGAACTGCATGCCTTGGAGCTAGCAGTGCAACTTCTTATCACTAAGCCACCAGAGCTCCCTTTGTATAGTTACAGGAGAGAATATGTAAGCTCATTATTTAAATCAAAATTTGCTAAATTCCAGTGAAACAAAAGTTGAGATGTGACGAGCTCTGGTGGCCTAGTGGCAAGAAGCTGCACTGCAATCCCGCAGGTGTGCGGTTCAGATCCACCAGATGCTCTGCTGAAGAAGGAGGAACAATCTCCTCCTGTACCAATCAGATCTGATTTGACGGTACACACACACACAAATAATAAAATAATAATAATAATTTAAAAAGTTGAGATGTATTAAAATCTTAAATTATCATAAGAATATTGCTGAAATCACAAATGTTTTGTTACGTGTATGTTTACAAGTTAAAGATACTCAGGGAAAAATTATTTATAGTACTAGTTGTTACTTGGGTATTTTAAACAATGAAGATAGAGGAATATGACTTAAACAACAGCTTTCAAATGTCAGATCCATTCAGAGTCATGGGGGATTTTGAGAAAATTTTAGTTCTCAACTATAGGTCTTTGGGGACTTGTGTGTCTAACAAGCTTGGAACCTGATGGTGATGCTCCTCGTCTGAAAAACACTCTAAGCAGGTCTGGTGGGATCCAGCTTGGAATCACATCTTCAGTTCTTCTATAAGATGTATCATCTCTTTATTTTCACTGTACCTTAATTTTCTCAATTTTAAAATGGGAGGAATATATCCTACTTATTCTCCTTTTTTTCACCTGATGTTCATAAAGAATATTTAAAATTGCCTTTTCTGTGTTTTTCTCTACAGGGAGTGCCTTGGTGAAGCACATGAGCCTTGTGACTGCCAAACATGGAAAAACTGGCTTCAAAAAATAACTGAAATGAAACCAGAAGAACGTAAGAGAAATTTTAGATAGCTATATTATCTATTTCCACATCCAAAATATAATGTCACATTCATTATAATCATGGAGATTTTCAAGCTCACTTATTTATTTAATGTTGTTGTTTTTGATTGTCTTCAAGTCAGTCATGACTCATAGCAACCCTATGACCAAAAGGCCAGAAGTCTTTTTATAACTGTCGACATTTATCAAAGTTTATAGAGTTTCCGGAGACATGTTGTTTAGGAAATGAATGCCATTCCTGCTTCCAGTACACCCCTTTAAAGAATATCCTTTGGAGATTACAAGATTTTTGCAAGCAGAAATCCAAGTATTCTATAATACTTACTTACTTCCCTGCTTCTAGTAATGTCAGCTTTTCTCCTTCAGCTCTTCCTATAAGATCTTGTGGGTGGGAGACCTAGATGTCTCCACCTCAGTGCACTGTTTTAATCACTTCATTTACCTTGGGCTAGATTCCTACCAATTTCCAGAATGTCTTTTCCTTACTACCTTTACTAGTGTGCCTAGGTCTTGTATGTTGTTGTTGTTAGATGCTGTCGAGTTGTAGATGACTCATGTCGACCCTATGAACGAACGGCCTGAGCACTGTTCGTATATAGAGTTTTCAGAGGCAAGCCATTTCAGAAGTGCATGCTGCTCCTGCTTCCAGGCTTGTTTTAGTCAGGAAGCCCCAGCAAACACTGTCCACCATGGGTACACATTACCACGTTTGGCATATCATTGTCCCAGTGTTCAGCATCACAGCAACCACGAGTTTTCTCTGTACAGCAAGGTAGAGACCAGTGCTGTGCCACCTAGAAGAATGTTTGACAGGAAAACAATTTGAACCTGGCCTGAGGGCCGCAAATTTAAATCATCCACCTTCAGCTTGGTAGCATAACTTTCTGTCCACTAGGCCAACGTAGATCTTGTATACAACTCATTTTAATATCTTCAAAATGAAATATAAGGAAAGTATTAGAAAATAGGCTGAGATAAATGCAGAGAACTTAATTCTATATAATGCAATGTACTGAGTTGTTGTTGAGCTGACACCGACTCATAGCTGACCCTCCAGCAGATTTTCTGAGGGTATAAATCACCTAAGAAGAGATTACAGTATAAATCACACAAGAGGATATTGTCCATCTTTCTCCCAAGAAGCAGCTGGTAGATTCGAACTGCCAGCTTTTGAGTTGACAACACAACTCATTAGGCCAGTAGAATTCCCATTTATTTCATATAAATGTTATTTAAATCTTTATAATTACTCCATATAAAGATTCAAATAACATTTTTAAGTTCAGAAATGGCTTCAGTTGTATCTAATAAGAACAAGAAACAGGAATGATTATATTTTCTAGAAAGTGGTGAATTATAAAATTTTGAGACCTCTTTCATAGTACATAATGATCAATAAATTATTATTTAATGACATTCAAATTGTCTTCTAAAGGAACTTTTAAATTTAGTCTCTAAAGGAACTATGTTTTCATTTGCATAACATGATGATCCAATGAATAGCTCTAGATTCTGTTGCACTCTAATCCTTGATTAAATTAATATTTCTTACAGAGAAACCTAAGTATACTGGATTCCTAAAGAAGATCATTATCATAAATCAACTAGAACTGAAGTAAAGGGTAGAGTTTGAAAGTCACTAAGGATGATGAAAATTCACCAGGTAGATTGAAGAGAGATAAGATGTTACAGATATTAACAACAGTATGTGCAGCAGGCCAGATGTATGAAATAAGAATATTCAGAGAATTATAAGTAAAGGTTTATCATAATCATGGCTACTTTCTGAGCACTGTTCACTTCATGCAGTCCCATAGAACTACAGCACAATGCTAGAATGCAACCACGAACTAACATTCTCTCCAAGGGTGGGAGGCGAAGCTGTTCTATTTCAGACTGCACAGCTGCTTTGTTTTCATGGCTTTGTCCTTTATTTCTTACAACAATGAATAATAAAGGTCATAAGAATATGTTGTCGCATCTGAGCTAAAAATAATGTTAATACTGAAGGGAAAACAAGGACCACTACTTTTGAAGAAAAGTTGAATGCTTTGGCTGTGAAATGTGTTTCATAATTAATTTCTGTGTCACTGTTTTTTATAAATTGCATTACCTCCTCAGACTGAGTGACAAAGAACAGTCATTCATTTTTATTTTTAGCTTGGACTTACAGTCTGTACTAGTTTTCTAGGGCAACCATAACAAAGTACCGCACATTAGGTGGCTTATAAGGGACATAAGTATGTTGTCTTATAATTCTTAAGGCTAGTAGTTTATATTCAGATTATTGGCATGACTTTGTCCTTTGAAAGTTCTAAATTCCTTCTTGTCTTTGAAATTCCAGTAAGTTCCAAGCTTGCAAATGCAGTTTAAGCTTTTTGTCCTTTGACCTTTCTTTTTCTACGTTTCTGTGTCTTCTCCCCTCTTATAAGAACAATGTTGCAGTTGGAGATTAGGGCTTACCCTAATCCAGAAGGACTTCATATTAATTTAACTGATAATATCTTCAAAGACTGTGCTTCCAAACAAAGTCATATTAATAGGTGTGCTTCCAAACAAAGTCATATTAATAGGCACCAGGAGTTAGGATTTTGACATATTTTGGGAAGTGGGGTAGTTAGGAAGGTTCAGTCTCTTGTATCCATAAGCAAAATCAGTTCCTTTCTGAAGCTCCCTTTCTTAATTATCTGAACATTCTCCCAGCCACCACCCTACTCAGACCCTCTTCTATAGTTTTGAACTGTAGTTTTTGATGAGTCCACTGCTGTCATTGTCTATGGAGTTACAAGCCAGTGCTATACAGTACAACAGCATCTGCTGATAATTACATAGAGCCATTTCGCAAGAGCCCATCAATCCAAGCGTTTATCTCCTTTCCCTCTCCAAAGACTTATATCTGGGGATTTGCAACTTTGTCTTTTGTCTTAGAAGGAAATACATTTAATTGGTAAATAGCACAAAAGGATTTGTTAATTGCACAAGAATATTCAAATAAGGAAATGTGGACACCATAAACCTAAGAAACAGCTGTTCACTGAATATAGATATTTAAGACTGAGGAGTTAACGGTAAAGAATATTCTGATTGGCTGCTGTTGTGGATAGCAGTCTAGTCAGGAGTAACTAACCCTCCATAGCTAACCCTCCAGCAGTTTTCAGAAGCAGTAAATCACAAGGAAAGAGATTTCTTGTAATTCTCCCTTGGAGCAGCTGGTAGATTCAGAATGCATCAGTCATTAAGAATTTGCTTGGGAAAGTTCTTTTGTGTGAATACTTTACTGCATATTGTTATTATGTGCAAACCCTCCAGCAGGTTTTCAGAGGCATTGAATCATGTGAAAGGACATTGTCCATCTTCTTCCCATGGAGCAGCTGGTAGACTCGAACCAGAACCACCTGCATGTGGGTAGCCAGTGCATCCCCTAATTGCTGGGCCACCAGAGCTCCCTTTTCTGCGTGCTAGTTAAGTGCAGTTGCATTCTTCCTGAGAACAAGCTGTCTTTGTTACAGTTAGAGATCTCCTTCTCAGAAACAAAAGTAGAACTTTTCAAAACTAGTTTGAGCCAAACTTTGAGTGTCATTTTAGCTATGTTAAACACTCCAAATTTTGGAACACCCTTATACATTCCCTGAGAGTATCGTATGCAATAGACAGTCTACACCAAAGAGCATGATGGAACATGCTGGTCACTGGTTTGCATCTTCTAGCTTGACTGATTACAGGACAACTGTTCCTTAGTTTAAAGCTTGTATCTGTTTATAGGTTAAAATCCATGCTGTGAACAAAAGCAGAAGTTAATCATGGACTCAGGATCAGCCATTTTACTTAGGTCAACCAGAACCCTTCTTTCATCCAGTCAATTTGGACTTCTAGCCACTCTCTAGAGCAGAATAGAACTGCTCCATGGAATTTCTGGGACTGTAAATCTTTACAGAAGGCCTGCCACATTTTTCTCCAAAGCAGGGAGCTCCTGCTAGGTTTTAACTTCCAGCCTTTGGTTAATAACTAAGCATTTTAGTCACTGTGCCACCAAGGGGAGTCTTACTTTGGCTAAATGTCCTCTAATTTAGACTCCACTGTTGTTTTAAAATTCAAGGAGTCTGATTGCTCATCTGCTTTTGGATGCTGGAGTTAGTCCCTTATCTTCTTCATTGTCTGCATGAAAGCAGGGCCTTAATTGGATGGTCCACTCTCAATTTTTCCATAATGATTTTGTGACATCTCTTTCAGGAATGGAAAAAAAAAAATAGAGCTCCCCAAATGCAGTTAGACTAGAAAGAAAAACACAACTTATTTAGTCATTCTTAAAGAAAGAAAAAAGTCATTGTGCATTTGAACCTCTCCAACACTTAACTTCATTTCACCTTTAATATGTATGTAAAAGTTTAAACAACCTTGATTAGCTCTGGATAAATGACACCATGTAACAAAAGAGAAAATAAGCAGATTTGGGCAAAATGATGAAGTTCAGTCTCATTTGATTCATTTAAGTATATCTGAAATAATGATTGACAAGATACTGACACTTTAGTGCAATTTTCGGTCTTTTCATCAATTTGTTACAACTGACTTATTTAAGAAATTCTTTTCTGAAGTAATAACTTGCAATACTTTTCTTGAATTCAATTTTTACAGATAATAACTTAGTGCCCTTTTTTTCCCTTTTATGTGTATTTCTGCTCTGCTTTAAAAAAAAATTATGAGAGTGTGTGTATCTTCTGTTTTCTAGAAGGCTAGTTGGCTTGACACAGTGACCACCACAATAGGCTTGAATATGTCAGAGATGATGAGAATGGCACAGGATAGGACTCTGTTCAGATCTGTTGTTCAGAGGGTTGCTGTTGGTCATACATGACTCAGTGGCACCTAACAACAGCAACAGTTATGTGTATATTCTAGTACAGAGATACAATCTGTTACAGAATTACGAGTATGTGAATTATCAAGACTGTGTGTGTGTGTGTGTGTGTGTGTGTGTGTGTGTGTGTGTGTGTGTTGAGTGAACTTTTACAAAACAAATTGGTTTTCTGTTCAACCATTCATACATATGAATTTATTATATTAATTACAGTACGCACATTTTAACCACACTCTTTCCATATTTTCCTACGAATGCCAGGAGAAACTATTTTTTTAACTTACTTTTTTTTCTTTAGTTTACTTGGTCTCACAGCTAGGGAGAAATCTTTTTCAAACCAAACTTTATAAGTAGGACTTTTTGAATATAAGCACCCTACGTTACAGGGAGCTTTGATGGTCTGATGGTAAGGGGTTGCATTGCCATCCAAAAGGTAAATGGTTCAAATCGTCCAGCTGCTCCATGGAGAAATCTTCTCCCATGCAATTTACAGGCTTTAAAAACACACTGGTGAGTCAGCTATGAGTCAGTTCCAGCTTGATAGCACATAACACCTTACATTATACTATTCAAAATGAAGTCTTTTTTAAAATGTCACCATAGATCTTAATAGAAAAATAAGCATATGAATAAAATGGAGAGGCAGTATACTAAGAAACATTTGAAGTTTCTTCCATTTGTACACTAAACGATTTATTTTTGTGTTTATTCTTAATATCTCAAAAGTCGTGGGAGTTAGTGAAGCTTATGAGGATGCTGCCAATTGTCTCTGGTTGTTAACCAACTCCAAGCCTTGTCCTAACTGTAAATCTCCAATACAGAAGAACGAGGGCTGCAATCACATGCAGTGTGCTAAGGTAAGAAGTCAGAGCATTTTGCCTGCTTTAAAACCTTAATTTAGTCTGTTACTAATAAGGATGACTAATAAGCATAAAAGTTTTACTGGGTTTCAGATGGGTTCCAGGAGATTGCATTCTACATTTTTTGTTGGGGAATGTAAGTGTTGATTTATATTACTAACTTTATGTTCACAGAGAAGGATACAAGTAAAGGTGGGAAATTGATGTTATTTAACTAGGAATGCCTCTTGTTCTGCCTCTGACCTTCCATAGGAGGAATTCTCATGTGTAATAGCAAAGATAAGTACTCTTTTACCCTATCATTTGTTACAGATTGAATTATGTCCTTCAAAAATAAATATTTTAATTAAAAACCTCTGTGCCTCTGCCAGTAATCCAGTTTGGGAATGGATTATCTTTGTTCTTGTTAATAAGACAGTGTACAGTGTGTCTTGAGTACATCTCATTTGAGTTGTAAAAGAGATTCAACAAGCAGGTGAGAGAAGCAGAGACAAGAAGGGTGATGCCAAGCTACATGGAAGTCTTTCAGTAACCAAGAAACACAGATGAAGAGCTCAAGGCCTTTCTCCACAGACACCCCTAGTATCTCACCCCTAGAGCCAGGACCCAGGTTTCAAACTTAAGAGTCCCCAAAACTGAGAAAATAAATATCTGTTTGTTAAAGCCACTCATTTATGCTATTTCTGATGGAACAGCACTAGATAGCAGAATAGGGTAGAAGAGTAGAGTGTAGCTCAACCACTTACCTAAAGTGTAGAAGCCGCTTGGAATTGAGTAAAAGGAAGGGTCTGGAAAAGTTTTAAGCTTTGGTCACATAGTCTGTAGTGAGTTGCACTACTAACCAAAAGGCTGTGTGTCTTTTTTGGTTTC